GTATGCAGATCTGAGGTCAATTATTGCTTAGTCTGATGAAGTGATAAACAATAATCCAGTTAAGGTGTAGAGAGGTATTATGAGGAAACCTCGCAGGTAGTAGAGAGTAAAAGTGCTCAAGTGCACTGACTCAACTAGCCTAAACATAATAATAAACTTTAATAGTTCTGTGACTGTCTTCATATGCAAGGTAGATAGCTTATTGTCCTAACACTAGTTAGGGCTATCTTTTGTCTTAATCTATCTTTTTTCTTTTATGAAATTAAGTATAATGGAGTATAATGACAAAACAAAAAGTAAGATTTTTATAAATGTAAAAATTAATTATCGCACAGTCGCAATTAAAATGTGTGAAAAATATGTAACTCATACGCCACGTTGTGTGAGAAGCAAATTGAGGTTTCTTACACATTTTCTAATTTAATTTCTCATTTAGGACTGAATGAATCAGTTGTCTTGATTTCTCATGAAATTTTGTACGAATTAAGTGCAGTGATGCGTATAACAACCAACATTTGAACAATGTGATATATATAGGATCGTACATTACTCGTTGTTATAATTATATGACGTCCAGTTATTGTAGCTCTTATAAATAAAAGAAAATTAACGATTAATTTAGTTTCTGCGACAAGGGAGAAATTTAATCTGAAATAAGAAGACCTAAGCTTTCTGTGAACTGTTAAATAGTTCCATATATATAACACTTACGTATATATTATAGTTATCTATCTGAACTTACGAGTATTTCTGTTTGCTTGCTGTTGTTATTGATAGGTCACTATGTCTTCTACAATCAAACATAATTGCATTAAAGACTTTCCGTCGCGCCCTCACACATAAACGTCAATTAATGAGGATAGAAAAACACTTTCACGAATTTGTGGGTATCGTAGGCGTTGAAATTGAAGTCTTCACACATGGAAGTGCATTTCTTCCGCTTGTGCGTTTTTTGCCATTACGTGTGTATTTCAAATTCCAATTAATTTTATTTCAATAAATTCATTTTATTAATTCGTTTTTCGTATTTTCTTATTTCGTTTTTTGCAGTTAGTTTAATTAAATTTTAGTGTATGATCGAACGCCCCGCTTTGAGAACTCCTCTGCGATGAGAGTGCAATTCACAGTTCACACATTAAGTTTCATTGACCACCTACGCAGTCATTCAATGTCATTCACAAGAGTGCAGTCAGCGGAGTTGCCAGAAAAAGTGAACATTTCTCACATTTATTAAAAACAAATAGTCACGCATGCACTTGTGTTGGTGTGTATCTGTGTGCGCTTGATTACATAACGTTGCTGCAATAATTTATTGGCAGTGAAAAAAGGAATTAAGATAAATGATCTTACTGGGCAATGCAAAGGAAATTAATTGTTTTTTATTGAACATGGAAAGCTATGGTCAGTTCACATTTCTTTAAACTTTCATTCGAAAATAATTATGGTCTGTGATTTTTAATCAGCAATAAAACAGAACTTTTGGTTTCGAACTGCACTTCTTTTATTAACAGATAATTGTGCTCTTTCAGAATTAAAATTTATGAATCAGCTCATAAAGGACCTGTAGGTAATGAATGGATAGACAACATACCACCCAAAACGGTACAACCACTAACCGTAGCAATCATCTCCAATACAACTTAATTTGTAAATAGGAAGATAATCATTTCGATTATTTTTGAAGATGTTAAAATCACACCTGACAAGAAACGATGATGGAAAATAAGTGGGAAACTATTTTAAACTCAATTTAAATACAGCTAAATATTGCGTAAAAAATATCTTGATTAAATGCTCGAACAAGAGCATATCTTCAGAGATTGAACTTATTTCTCTCTTAATGGATATGCCAACAAACAAGTTTGTCACATCTGGAACAAAATCCCAGTGAAAAACTCCTTAAGTAACTGTGGAGGGACCATAACCATAACTCTCAACGTTTTGAACACTGGCAGCTTGTGCAGGAGTTATTGCTCGCTATAAGTCAACAAACCATCCAAAATTAACTCAAAAGGATCCAGTACTGTAAGATATCCTATGAATAATGATTGAATGATATGGTTTTTTTAGAACTTATGACAAGATATACACAAAATACAAACCTCTTAAGTTAACTTAAATAACCTAGAATCAATTTTGAATAACCCCACAATTCGTCCCATTGTAAAAATCACAAATTTAAATCTATTCCAATGCTTCCTGTTATTGCAGAATATTCCACATCATCCACTCTCTTTTACCAGATTTTAAAATCGATTTGAAGTCTATAAACACCTCATGTTCTCTATCGTTTGTTTTATAATGCGGATCATATCATTGATTAAGCAGATTGCCTACGTGATTCAATACAACTTTTGTAAAAATTTTCTTATGCCTCATGAATTATTGCCATCTTGTAGATACATTCTTTGGATAGGTAACCAAATGGATTTTCTTCATTCGGTTGGTATTGACTTTCTACTTCATATCTCTAAACAGATCCATGAGCATATACGTAGCGCTATCGAAAATTGTTTCAAGGCATTGCAATGAAATATTACCAACGCCTACGGAGCTTCATTAGTCCCACCTTCACTAGGTGACTTAAGCAAAGCCCTACATTGTTGATTCGTCTATGGTATAGCTCTGTTACCGAAGCTTGTGTGTTAACACCTTGTGTCTTAATGTTAAATGAGAATGTGTATCTTTTTTTTTGTTAAGAGTAACATTTAATATATAAGTTATTTTTTGGATGTAAAGCAAAAAATTAATAAGCTACCGAATTAATTGAAACTCTGACCCAAGCGGATTGGGACGCTATCATTTAAATGTCTCATGTCATTAAATGGAATAAAATTTAATTGCAATTAAAATAATTTAAATTAAAATAATTTAAACGGATTTCATTGCTCGGAATGCATACATTGGCTAATTTGCATAATACAGCGCATATTTTTTGCTATCACTTAACAATTTCGCTTTCATACGAGTGTACATCCGTGCATCTACAGTGGAGTAGATAGATAGTATATAGAGATATATAGAAATCCAAGTAATACATACTGACATGTGTCATTGCGAATTGTGTGCGCATTTGTGTGTGGGTTTTTTTTAATAATTTGCTGAAATCAATTGCTGATTTCAATTGAGTTCAATCGAATTGAATGGCTTTTGTTGACAACTGTGAATAATGCAATTTAATTCAATTTTCAATTCATTACATTCGCTACATTCGCTACATTCGCTACATTCGCTACTGCAAGTGAGCAGAATGCAAACAAAAGCACACCAACGGAATAATGAATGAAATTCGAGAATTTGGTTAAGCAGAAATGATTCCAACAGCACTAGCGATATGCGATATGCGATATGCGATACGCGATATACGATATACGATATATTATTTTAAATATATACTAGATATCTAAGCACTGTGCATTATCCGGGCATGTAGTGCGCCAGATGCGGAGAATAGGCACGTGTGTGGAATTGTTGTCTAATTGTTGCTGTCACTATGTCACTATGCTTCCCAACTTTAAATAATGCCGCATATGTGTACTGATTCCAGCCAGACACCACTCAGTATACCCTTGCTGTGTTTGAGGAACTTTTTTTATATTTAAATTGCCTACGGTTAAAATAATTTACACGCCCGCCTAAAGCACTTTGCATTTAAATAATTTTTTTAATTTTTGTGCTTTGATGCATTGTGTATATCTTAATTTTAATTTTATTTACAATCAATTGAACAGCCCCCGTATCACTGTGTGAGTAAATACATCACTTGGGCAATGGGTCATAATGTCATTTTTGACATATCAATTATCTGCTGATGTCAGTGTATGTAGAGATGTGCACTTAAGCGCTCTCACATCTGCTCGCTCAAGGCACACTTCAGAGGCCGCGCACAAAAGAACACACAGCGGACAAAAAACTGCATTTAAAAATGATTTTAAGAGTTTCAGAAAAAATTCCGGAAAAAATAGATGAAGTAATTGTGGCATTTGGAGCTGCTATCCAAAGCTATTGAGCAACGCGCGGGTGCTGCAAAAGCCAGCCGCACATGATTGCAATGGATTCTGGCATCTCACAGATAACTGCCAAGCCCAACTGCGAAACACTTAATTTACTGCGGAAAGCATAAACTAATTTTCCGTAATGAAGTCGAAATTATAAAAATTACATTTTAACTCAGACATGCCAGAGAAACTTAAATTATTAACAAATTTTGCGCATTAAGAAATTAAAATTAATGGAATAACAATAAGAGCATAGGAAAATAAATTTGTGAATATTTGCAGCTCTAATTTTTCGAAAACCAGAAAAAAACACACTTTTTTACAAATTCTATAACATAAAATTTAGATACGTGGACAAATTACAGAAATCTGGACCCGGAACACTGGATGCGGTACACTACACCTGATAGATACTTTGTAGAGCTAGTGCTCCTAACATATTCTTTCTTTCATCTAAACTTTTAATTTGTATTTTAAGGCAAACATATATTATTATATATAACTATCGTATATAAGATGCATTGAAAATTAGGAGAACTTCTTGAAAATTAGTGTTTGTAGTAAGGCCATCTGGTGGTAATTTCACGCGACAATAAAATTAATTGCTGTCGTTCTTGTAAATAAGGGACAGAGTCACGTTCATAGACATATAAGATTGGTTCACTTTCACTAAGATGAGGTGTTAATTCCATGCGCTGACCACTTCGGTTTTAACACCTTTTCTGTTGGTTCGGCTTGTTTGGCGTAAGAATTACGATTCTTCGTGATATTATAACGACCCATTATTTGTGATCAAGTATACTTTGTGGCCATCACTTCAACCTAACCTTACTTATATTTCCGTGAGTTCTCAAGTGCTACAAGTTCGACAAATGCTACAAATGATTGGATTTGGAGTTAGCTGCATATATCCAGAAAGCATAACAGTAACGAATGGTGATTTTTTGAAAAAAGTTTGATTGAAATTATGAAACACAACAAAGATTATAATTTGCTAGGTTGCGCAACATATGACGGACCCACAATATACGTACCAATACCAAGGTAAAAATTTTTAACGACTGCGTCAAATCGGTATGCCTATATGGATCGGAAACCTAGCTTGCTAACTCCAAAATCGAAAGAACATTGCAATCATTTATCAATTGATGCTTGCGAAACATATGAGGCATATGGTGGCCTAGAAGGATTTCAAATAAAGAGTTATGGAGAAGAACGCACCGAACAAACGTAAACAGCGAGATAAGAAGAAAGAAGTATGGTTGGATTGGACACACACTGCGTAAGTCGTATAAAGATATCGCGCATGCTGCACTTACTTGGAACCCCCAGGGGACTAGACGAGTTGAGTTTAACGAGTTGAGAGCAATAGTACAAAATAGAAACCAGGGGAAAACTTCTGTAGACTCCTTAAGCTATTAATGGAGTATGGAAATAATAATAATAATAATATGAAACGCAACATTGACATATAACAACAAGACTGCCACAGCTATTAGGTCATATACCGCATGAAATACGCAGATCATCTCTACAAAATAATTATTAAGAATTCCAATTCTCATAATATTTTTAATGTTCTGAAAATATCATAAATCGTTTGATGTTATTATAAAACTATCAGTCCGTATTCTGTCCAATACTTTATTTTTTTTATATCCGTCTGACTGTCCGTACGTCTGTGAACTTGTAATGTGTAAAAATAGCTTATTTATAATAGTGTACATTTCCTTTCCACATATTCAACATTGCTATGGTTTTTTTTTTTTTTTTTTTTGTTGTAACCGCAACAACAATTCGTACTTGTGTCGAAACGTACTCGAACTTAGCTATGAACTACAATATTTTGAATATTGATATTCCGACTTAACCGCAATGGCTTAACATTGGCACTAGAGCACATTATTTTTAATTCACATCAAAAAAAATTTTAATTTTTATGACATTAAGTGATACTTTTTTATTGCTAATTAACAATATAAACATTTAAACAATTTTTTTGTTTTTTTTTGTTTTAAATTATTTCGTGCAATTCTATTGGCATTTAATACTTCCAGCATGTGTCAGAAGTATGTCAGGCTTAGTCTCAAATTCCATTAAATAAAAAACCTAATAATAAATGTAAACTGACATTATATAAATATTAAAGCATAAACTTAGTTTATAATATGGAAAAAAATTCATTTCGAATTAAACTATTAAGCGCAACACCACAAATGATATATTATTATTACTGCCATATGTGACACACATGCATGGGAACTCTATAATGTAGCCTTGCAAGTCTTCCTCGTATTGTTTTACATGACAGTTGCGGAAGAATAGCATAACATCAAACAGAATACTATAATTGTTTTAATCATCATCATCCATTAAAAACGAAATCCCCACTTAACGGCTGTTCCTAATACAACTGTCGACTATATAACCTATATTTTCTTTCGGTGCAGCAAAAGTCAGAGTGTGTGTCTTGAACCCACGAAAACCACATTTAAGGAAAACGATAACCACGTTTTAAATGAAAAGACAAATTAGCGATGTCTAAAGAATCAATGACTGAAATCTCAATTAAGAACAGAATGCAGAGACTAACAGGCTTAAAATATATCAAGCTAAATTCATCTAAGCTAAAAGGCAAGCGCACGAACATGTCCAACGAAGGATTCCATTTGATGAAGAAGTTGTGTTAACAAGAGTTTTTGTTTATGCAGTATTGAAAACTTAAACCCACTAAGTAAGAACCCAACAACTATAATGCAATTCAAGAAATCGAAAGCGGAATACAGATATCAATAGTCGTAAGATGATGCATAGCATGTTAATTTCATCTAAGCTAAAAAGCAAAAAGTAGAGCAAAGCAAAAAATAAGATTATAGTGAAACACTTGAGATGAGGAAAAACTGCGGTCAGACTCCATCACCAATAAACTTTTACACCCTATATTGGATTAAATAAATGAAAGCATATAAAAACTTATTTAGACAGTAAGCCAGAAAATGAAAAGACTTATGTCTTATAGATGAAACCCCCGGATGCCAGACTCAAGAAATTCGAAAGAAGGGTCATGACATCAGGTGAAATATCTTCTGGCAATGAAAAGTCAATAATTATTAATGCAAGTTATATTAAAGCAAAAGAAGCTTAGGGTTGTCAGTGTATAGTAAAAAATTCTTTTTTAAAAACTCAGATTAATTCCAATTTTAAGAAAACGCCATTTGAGAAAGCTTCATATAAGCTTGTATGAATTGTTTTCCACAATATCTTATTTACGTATAATTTCGTTATTTTTATAAGTGATCGACGCATTTGTATAGAGGCTTCCATATTGTGAACTTAGCCATACACGTCATCATACACGTCATCGAATTGCATTCCAAAACTGCAACTTGGGATATATTCATATTTAAGTATTTATTGATGAACAGACTTGTGCGACGATGTATATTATATTTCAAATTTATATGAATACTATATGAATGAACCGAAAATTGCAAAAACAGGACAAGAAGTAGTGGAATCTGGAATAGTTGAAGTCTGCATGTCTTCTATATAAGAAAATTGTAGAAATTAAAATATGAAAAATCTTCTAAAATATTGATTTAATTAATCGAGTATAGGAAAAGTCATCAATTTTAACAAATCAAATTCTTAAAGTTTCTCTCAGTTCCTTTCTAACAGGTAATATAATAGATCATTCCCAATTCAGAAGAGTTTTCAAAGAAAAATATCTATCTATATGGATTTGGATTGCTTGGATATGAAAAGAACTTAACCTTTGTGTTACCATCCAAAAATTTACACGCCTACGTAGAGTTTGACTCAAAAATATGTATTTTATATGTAAATACCCGGGTCTGTTGGATGTTGCTGAAAGGAGTAAGCAAGGAATACAACTGAATGTGTATAAAGTTTCTTAAGAAACTATTGAAAATGTTAAGTGGATATAATATTTGGAATGGTAAAAAGAAGTTATATCAGCTCAAAAACCCATCTGGGTATTGACACAAAGTTTCAACCGTAACTTCATATATAGTTCTTCGGAAATATTACATACAACCCACGAAATGGATTTTTCTTTTTATTGTGTATTAGATTAAGCTGAGAAAAACGAATTTTATATCTAAAAACTATTTAATAACTCAAATAGTGAATAACTGATTCACAGGAAATTCTATAAAAATTCTTATTGAGTTCGTATATGTCGGAGCAGCAAGTGCAATTAATTTCATACAGATGTGTTCTGCAGTTACATGTATTGGAAGTTGTTACATATTTGTGAAACACAGTACAAAAATTCAAAAATCCATAATAATTTTCAAAAAAACCTACAAAAAAGATACAACATCGCATCAGTAAACTATGAAGTTGTGTAGTCTCAAAAACGTACACAAATTGGCGTTGATGTCCACTGAACCGTGTTTGTAAAATAAATTCGATAAAGTGGGCAGGGAGAAGGGAGCAGGGAACAGGGAGCAGCGAGCAACGAGCAACGAGCAACGACCAGAGATTGGGGAGTGAGGTATGAGCAATTTTTTAAATTAGTAGTTAAGCTTGTTTCAATACCTTTTCGGGTATCAGAAGTGCAATCAAACGCAACAGAGTTTATTGTTAGCATAAATGTAATAAAATCTCTTTTCGTTACGCCATTTAAGCGTGAACATAAACATCAAAGGGCCGTGGTAGCAGCAGCTCCGAACCATGGCAACAGTGGAGATATGTCGTTATCGGGTTGACGTATCTCGACGGGTTTTGCATAGTTCACCTTTCATTCTCGTAATATTACGCAGATGACAATAAGTGCAGTAGTCACTTGGGTCAGGTGTAGTTTAAGGTTAGTGTTAGTGCTAGTGTTAGTGAGCAGCCATTGTTCAGCGGGGCCCATACAAATATGTTTAAAGGGCGATAAATTAAAAAATTTCGGCTTTAACAATAGACCGAAAACAAATAGCCGGGCAATAAAAAACCTGACAATAGAATCGACGTCAAATTTTGTTACAACTTTTTCAATTTTTGCTTGTTTTTGTGCTTTTGACTTGGAAATAATGTGAAAGCCCAATAGAGAACGAAAAAATAGACCATTTCACGGTCAAATTGAGCAAAGTACTACTGAGGTCATTTGACAGCGCTTTTGATGTTTTCAAATGATTTCGTTTGTGTGTGCAAAAATTACCGGATAAATCAAGTTATGATTGTAATTTGTTGATTATGAGATAAATGTATTTTTATTGCATCACGTCGCGCGCGGAGGGAAGCGTTTGTGCACGCCTCCGATGTAGTCGAATATGCAAGTGTACTTAAGCTTACAATGAGCTACTGCCCAAGTTACTGGGACAGTTACTCACAGTCGTAAAAGTCGTACAGATTTTTCTTAAGTAATTTTGATGTCCACACTAGACTCATGAGGCATGCATTCTTTAATAT